GAGAGAGAGAGAGAGGGGGGGAGAGTCAGAGAGGGGGAGAGGGAGAGAGAGACAGTGAGAGAGAGAGAGAGAGAGAGAGAGTGAGTGAGTGAGAGAGAGAGAAAGAGAGAGAAAGAGACAGAGGGAGGGGTTGGTGGATACAAACTGATAGAGAGCATTACCTCTTTTCTGATGGTCTCCCCAACAGGGCGCCGTAGATCCTCCTTGAGAATCTCCAGATCGTGCACCTGTCTCTGGTTGTTGGTCTCATCCTTCCAGTACCAGTAGTCACAGTAAGTGTTCTCCGCCTCCCGCAGAACAGGCAAGCCTTCCGACTCCGGCATGACCCACTCGAACTCTTCCCCCTCGCCTTTCTTCTTCTTTTTCTTCTTCTTCTTCTCCTTCTTTTTCTTCTTCTTGCCCTCTTTCTTACCACCTTTCTTCTTCTTCCCTGATTCCTGCTCTTCGAGCCAGTCTAAAATATCCGTCTCCACCTCTTCGAGAGCTTTGTTCTTAAACAAGGCATTACTCCCACCTTGGCTCTCTTCGGGAAAAACCGGGAACTTCCCAGTCAAGTCCCGCAACTCCAGAATCCATTGCAGGATTGTCTGCCTCAAGCTCTCCGCCATAGAGGGGCCTTCCTCGTTCAGCAACATCTGCTCCTGCCGACGTGTATCCTCCTCGAGAGCCTGTTCATTTTCCAGAGCAATCTTCTGGTTTCTGTACAAGTGCTCGTCCCGCTGAGTGAATACTTTGTCGTTGGCTGTGTAGTCCGGAAGCATTCCCAGTTTGACCATCTCGTCCTCGCGCATGCGTCCGATTCCCCTTCTGACGTAATATGCCCGCCATTTTGCCGCGTACTTCTGGCAGATCGTATTCATGGACGCGGTGCCAGAGTCGTAGAGTTTCGCCCAGTACGCCATGTTTGCTCTGTTCAGAACGTGCAGTTTTTTCTTCTTTGACTTCGTCCTGTCGACAAAGGCCCGCTGGTTTCGCTGTATCAGGAGTATAGCCTCGCCCACGCTCATAGACTCTGTGAGAGGAGCGTCCTAACAGGGGGAAGGGGAAAGTAGGATTTTGGTTGGGGGGGGGTGGGTGGTGGTGGTGGAGGTTGGCACAATCACGGTAGTTTAAACAATGCTCTGTAGGAGTATGATATTGTACACGTTTAATTTCTTTCTACGAATGTGTTTTAATGTAGGTGTTTTTCCACCTCTATCGACACTATTTTTAGTGGGCGGACTTCGATCCTGACTATCAGCGCCAACCTAGACTGAGAGGGATGCAGTGTCCCATCAGAAAGACCAAAGTTCTGAGAAAATATTCTCCCTACACGACAATCAGCATAACAAGGACAACAGCACAAGGACAGCAGCACAACAAGAACAACAGTGCAACAAGGACAACCGCACAAGGACAGCACAACAAGGACAACAGCACAAAAATAACAACAGCACAAGGACAACACAGCAACAATAACAGCACAACAAGCACAAAAGCACAAGGACAGCACAACAAGGACAACAGCACAAAAATAACAACAGCACAAGGACAACACAACAAGGACAGCAACACAACAAAGAAAACACAGCAACAATAACAGCACAACAAGTACAACATCACAGAGCCAACAGCACAACAAGCACAACTTCAGAAGAACAACAGCCGACAGCTCACTGACCTGGAAACGGTCGGGGAAGTGTTTGACCAGTATAGACGTGAGCATCATCTCTCGTGTCCGGAGCAACGCAGCGCGGCCGGCCAAGAAAAACTTGGGTACCTTAACAGGAAGAAAGAGAGAGAGAGATCAAATTTATAAATGCAGAAATTTAAGGAAAATCGAACAAAAGGAAGAATTGTCCGCTCGTTGGCCGAGTCAAAAGTTAACACGTTAACAATATATTAATTTGGCCATGATATTGATACAGTAGTGCATTTGCTGCATTAAATAGACCAAAATGACTTATATTGAGCCGGAAAAAGGGGTTGAAAAGGGGGTGGGGGGTGGGTGGGTAGGAAATAAGCTAGAAATGAAATACGAACCAGAGACTCACATTTTTGATATAGCATAGAATGGACTTTACCTTTAACAGGAAGGATTAAAGCAGCCCGCCTCCTGAATGATCTAATTGTGTCTAGGGGATTGTAAAACAGTTACAGCTAGATTTCACTTTCTTGTTAATTTTTGCGTTCCTCCTGCTAGATTTCCAGGGTAGTCGAATGCTAGTACTTCAACTTGAAGTGTAACTTATTTTTATGTTTGACTGTTTTCCCCCCTACTTTTCTGAAAACTCATACTTCAACGTGTGGGTGGGGAGTTGTGCCTTTTGTTTCTGTCTGTAGCTTTCTCTAGTTCAACCAGATAGGGTCGAGATCCTGAAATGTTCCTCTCGCCAGCTGATTGAGGAAGAAGATAGGGAGGCACAGGCCAGATCTGCTGTGGAGAGGATGATGCTTTTGGGAATACAAAAAGGAAGCGGAAAATCTGGCATCCTTGCAGGAAAAAACCAGAAGAACGTTCAACCAGATATGCACTGTGACTGGCACAATCAGCGGAAAGACCCTCAGTGACATTTTGGAGAGAGCAACGGAGCATCAATGGACGTCTGGAATGCAGGGATGCCGCTTCCTGAAACAATGAACAATGAACAATGAACAATGAACAATGAACAATGAACGTAGCTACCTCTATGACAATGTCAGGGGGTGTGAGACTCAGGTCATGCAGAAACGTGTCGTAGAACTGGAACTCGCGCAGGTCAAGCTCCACCATCTGTTCTTTGAACTCCAGAAGGCGGACGGCGGCACCCTCTATACAGGTTCTGACCAGCTTGCGCTTCTGAGGGTGCACCAGGTACTGGTAGCATTCGTCCAGTTGTCGGATGATCAGGATGTAGTGGATATACCTGGGGATGAGGCGCAATTAAAATTTAGACCAGCCATCGTTGTGTCGATGTGCCTCTTGATGTTTAAAAATTTCCCCTAAATAAAACAAAAATAAGATCGTGAAGCATACCGTAGACCGCGGATATGAGCCATATATGTGCAATTATGTTATGGGGATGATAACATGTATTATGGTAATTATGATTTTATGGTTATTATTGTTATGATAATGATTTTTAGTATTATTTTGATGATGATGATGATGATGATGATGATGATGATGATGATGATGATGATGATGATGATGATGATGATGATGATGATGATGATGATGATAAAACATTCTTTTTAATCAGCAATAAGTCAGTGGAACAAACAGACTGACCTAGACGTGCAGAGATCTAGCGCTGTGCGGTAGTCGCCGATGGGTTCGGGCTCCACCGGGTAACCCTCCTCGTCATACACGTAGCGGTACTCCTCTCTCAGCAGGCACGCCAAGTTGTCCTGTGCCGCGTGCCACTGGCGGTTGTCGAAGGCGTCCAACAGGTCCGGCGGCATGTGTTTCCTGAGAGGAAGATCAAGAGGCTAGCCGTACTTAACCCTACCCGTACGCCCTGGGGTTATTTCGTACCCCCGGAGTTATATTCTTCACATTTTAGAATACTTCTAGCATGAAAATCTCTTTGAAACTTTCAGTTTGTCTGAAAAAATCATTTTGACAAAGCGTACGGATCGGATTAACAAGTAAATTTTCTCTTTGGGAAGTGGTGGCAGAGAGTTCCCCACGTCGTATGTATACGATAGTAAAACACGACGTACGGATAGGGTGAAGGACAGCTAGACTGGCAGATTAGCCAGGGCTTGACTGTCAAAAAGCAAAAAAATACTGAATTGTAAATAAAATTGTAGTCTGCAATACATAAAGTGTATCTCAGACGAAACCAAAAGGTGCCTTACTGACATGCATATATTTTAAACCTGAATAACTACTAATGAGACTCAACAGTTTTCGGTCAACAGGGCCGAACCTAAGTATGGCTAGACTGGTAGGTTAGCCGTGCGTATTTGAGTATGGCTAGACTACTACTTACTGACATGCATGTAATGTATTTTAAACCTGAATAATTACTAGATCTAGCCGTACCTAAGTACTGCTAGCCACTTTGTTCCTGAAATGAGTTCAACAGTACAAAATGTGATGACTCAGGCTGTCTGAATACCCGGATACCTGGAGGTTTCGTCTCTGACTCAGAGATTGACGTATACTGACCCTCCATTCTTCACGGTCGCGAGCTGCGAGCTGTCTGAATAAGGCAGGCATAAAAGCAAACTAGATCTACGGCCCGTGGGCCAGATCCGGTCCTAGAGCAATTTAATCTATCTCATGAGTCGACACAGTGATGAATGTATCGCTGAGTGAGTTGATGCGTCGCTACCTCAGAATTACAAAGTTTTATCTAACTTTTTTGGTCGTTTTAAGTTAGATCTACTAAGACCAGATTAAGTTAGAAACCAAATGTTCTATCTGCTGCTCTATCAAAATTGTAAGATTATTCGGAGTCGTGAACAAGATATTCAAAGAATTGTATTTTAAAAAGCTAGATATATTGTGAAACTCAAAAATTTTAACTTCAAATTTCTCAGAACTAGATCCTGAGCAGAAGGAAATTTTGAAATTCTAAGACAGCGAACATCAGATTTGATGTCTCAAGATGTCTATATAAGGCTGGCATGGGCAAACTACGGCCCGCGAGCCAGATCCGGTCTGTGAGCTATTTCAGTCCAGCTCACGAGTCGACACAGCAATGAGTGTGCCCCTAAGTGAGTTGATGCGTCGCTACCTCAGAATATAAAAGTTCTATCTGACATTTTTGGGCCGTTTTGAGTTACTAAGATCATGAAGTTAGAAACGAAAATACATTCTTTATCTGCTGCTCTTTCAAAATCGTAAGATTATTGAAAGTCGTTAACAGGATATTCAAAAAATTGCGTTCGGAAAAGCTTAACATGTTGTGGTACAACTCAAAATTTTAAACGTCAAATTTCCCCGAACTAGGTCCTGAGTAGATAGAACTTTGTAATTCTAATGTAGCGAATACCAGACGTGATGTCCCAGGCTCTCTACATAAGGCAGGCATGGGCAAACTACGGCTCGCGGGCTATATCCTGCCAGAGAGCTATTTCAGTCCAACCCGCGAGTTGACCCTTAATGATGAATGTGATCGGTGGTGAGTTGGTAATTGTTAAAAAACAACACTATCCGTCTCTAAAGATTAAAATCTATAGTTCTCTGCCAAGATGGATGCAATACATTTAATACTTTGTCTCACGAAATGCCGTAAATTGAAATATGCCGTCTTGTCAGTTTTAGCCTCACTTCTGAGAGTTTGGATATTCTAACTTAATTTTATTTAGTTTTTCCTTCTTTGGCCCGCGAGATAATATTCCAAATCGCTTAATCCGCTTGGCGTAGCGCACAGGAGACATGAGTTCGATTCCCGAGGGGAGAGAATTCTTATCGAGTATCTCGGTCTTTCTGTCGGGATGTTGTGTCCCTTTCAGCCTGGGTTGGTCCTGACAGGCAGGGTCGAAGGTCACCCCCTAAATGATCTAAATTGTGTCGATTGGGGTGTAAAACACTTACATCTGTCCCCATGGTTTTATGCACCCACCATAATTTAGAAAAATTTGATAATGTTTTGTATAATTTCTGATTATTTTCCTTCATCATTCTTTGTTAAAATTAACAGAATCGCATAATTTCACATTTTTGGGCTCAGTTTGCATAATTTCAGAATTTTTGTTTCTGCGGGGACAGTTATATACGAGAAACCAACTAAGCAACCTCCCCCCCCCCCTCCACAGGGACCCCCGATCTGTGTGCTAGGTTAACTTTGTTTGAAAAGTTAATGAATGAACTGCTCGTCATTGGTGACTCTGCATTTTGATCCGTCGCGTTTGATGATATGTCAGAACAGTACACTCCGATTCAACAACAATCTTCATAACTAATTATCCAAAGTGTCAGGAATACAACTTTTCGTTAACAACACAAATGAAGACTACAGGGCGAAAACGACGGTAGTCACAAACTGAAAATCGTGAGTGTACCAATTTTGAAAGCTTGTTGACTCACGACTGTTTTTCTGTTCAACTGTTGGTTGAATATTGTTGTTATAGGCTGGTAATATTTTGGCCGGATATGCCCTAACCTTGAACTAATTGCTTTAAAGCTCGTTTTATGTTTTTTAAACTGGAAATACATGACCCTTCTCACAAGCAAAAATCGAGGAAAATGTAATGGGGCAAAATATATTTTTAGCGGAATAAAGGCAATGAATTAATTGCGCAGTCAAAATCGAATAATCGATTAAATCGAAAATAATCGAATAAATTCGTTTCAGAGGAGGGAGAGGGAATGGGAGGGCTTTGCTCTCCTGATTACGGTTAGTTGAGGGTTACGGCAGGGTTAGTTGTCCGGGTGCAGTGATTTCTTGAAAACTTGATTTGCGATGCGTTTTATGGCCATACGAATTTATTCGATTATTTCCGAATTTATTCGGTTATGCGATAGAGACAGACAGAAAGAGAGAGGGGAGAGCGTAAGGGGAGCAATGCTTGTAATGTCCTCCCTCCTCATGCACACACACACACACACACACACACACACACACACACACACACACACACACATTGGCAATGCACATCCTTCGTTCCCATTCTTATTTTCCATGTGGCCATTGGCCGAAATGGCGTTAGATCCAAATTAGTAGTATAAAACAGGTGTTCTCATCATAATATCAAAATTTACACAGAAGCATCAGAGAGAGACAGAGAGAGAATACACGTGTTTGGGCAAAGAGAAGTTCACGAACATACTTGTTGAAATAGATTTCAATTCGTCCAGCGGCAATGATGTTACATGTATTGACTTTGACGTCTTTTCTCGGGATTCTCTTGGATTCGTCTCGCTTTGGTGTAGTTACGGCAATGATGCCCATGCCGTGAAAGGTATTGTGACCTCGTATTGTTGCTGTGCTGTGGTCAGCATTTTCTGCCACAAACTGGACATTGTCACTCTCTGAGAGTGGCGGGAGGTCAGTGCCTTGTTCCACAGCTGCGTTCATCTCAAACTTACGCACCTCCCTGTATGACGAGCAGAAGCCAAGGTGACTGTGGGTATCCACCAAAAACCGTGATGCAAACATTTTATGCACTTGTACAGCTAATCCGATCTGTAATGGGGCAAGAACTGTATTGGGTCGGGTAATCTGCATTATGGCTTGTCCTATTGCAGTAGTTTTTGTTGGAAAGTCTTTCCCCTTGAAAATATTCGAAATCAGGACATGGAGTGATTCTTGGAGGAAAGACAGCTGGTCTTCTGCACCAATGTCTGGGTAGGTGTCCTTTAAACATACCTTTGTATTGGTGTCACCACGGATGAGGCTTGCGGCTGCTTGTAAAATTCCGCAAGGATGTAACCTGCAGTTTCCTTCAATGTGACAACGTCTGGAGTCCCGTCGAGTTTCTCGGTAATGACAATGCCGTCACAAAAATGCTCAAGTAATTTCTGTTTCCTGTATCTGGGAGAGTAGGCTGCGTCTTCGGGTGACAACTTGCTGTGCATGAGGTTAACAAGATCAGGGACAGTCACCTGCTCTATATCTTCACTCTCCAGATAATCAACAACTGCTTGGAAAGCTTCCAAACAGCGTTCATTCCGGGGTCACCCAGGCCCAGAGCACATGTTTTTTGCAGCAGGCTCGCAAAAATAGCAGGTACTCCTTTCGTTTCTCTGAAATGCGTGTAACAGACGTTGTGGTAGACAGCATCACGAGCAAAAAGATCCTGCATGTACTCTATCTTGCCTGTTACCTCTCTTGACCATCTGTCTGTTTCACCCCTCTTCTTACAAAACGTAGAACA